TATTAAGATTAGAACATATTTATTAGTATCAAAGTAAGTATCCGTTTATGTCACATGATAAAGGTTGTGCTTTGTTTCACCAAAATTCAGTCCTTTGGTAGTGAAGCTGAAGTGCAGGGTGCAGACCTGGGTGATGATATATGAAGGCAGGGTGATGGTATATGAATGCCATGACCAGGCTATATGCCCAGTACCGCACTTCCTTGGCCATACCAACAAGATTCAAAGGAATGCAGGAAATTACATTTGGCTGCAGGAATTACCAGAAAGTTGTAAGTGTTGACAGCTAACCACCTTCAGGGCTCCACTTTGAGTTTTTTTGTCTGGATTTACTTCCATAGCTTTTTCTTTGTTTGGTTATGGCTGCAAGACAGCAGATCTTTAAAATCAAGATTTTCCTCCTCCTAGATGAACTGTCTTCCTGAGGTGTACAGCTCCATCTCCCTGATGTAGCTGGTTATAAAGGTACCAGTTTTCCACCTTCACCCATTCTCGAACTTGGGGCTGAACTTAGTTGCCAGAGGATATTTAAGACGCATGCCATGAAAGCATTTTATAGACAGTGTGTGCTTGTAACTACTATCACCCCCAAGAACCTTTGGAACATAATGTATGTAAACAAACATTATACAAGGTTATTGAAAAGTAACTCTCCATTTTAAAATACTGATAATTTATTTATTAACTATAATTTTTTTCAAGAAATGGATATGAGAGAAAAGCATTTAGCATTAGGTTTTACTTAAAATTCAATATTGGCACCAGATTTTGCTACCAGCTTCTCAAGCCATTCAGGAATCGCATCAAGTGATTTCACCAGGAACTCTTGTGGTATGGAAGACATAACTTGTTGTATTCTTTCAAAGTCTTGGTTTCATATAGCAGACTTTATCCTTTAACCAACCCCAAAGGAAAAAGTCACAGAGTGTTAAGTCAGGACTCTTGGCTGGCCACCCATACATAAAATAGAAAATTTCAATCACCCTGTATAACATTACATGTTTTAGAAACTTAAAAAAAAATTAATTAACGCTTTACAAAATATGTAATAAAACATTAGATAAACAAAAATAACAGAAAGCAGGACAAATTATGAAATAGTGAATCAAAAGCAATACTAAAAAACTTCTTTACAAGGATTAGACCTTCACAGAAGAAACAATATAAAACAAGAAGTGTGTGTATATTATCTCATGAATTAATTAAAGATAAATTAGACATAGAAAATCATAATCAGTATCAAAACTATGACACCAAGCATGGAATGACATAAACAAGGAAAAAAACTAATAGAGAATTTCTTAAGAATCAATGATATTTCCCTTAACTACAGATATAGCAAAACAAGAGAAGATAACTGATAAGGTGAAAAATTTAATTAATTTTTCTTTACATGCAAAAAAGAAAATATTAAAGTCACTGTTATTTCATGCACATATTTTTCACCAGCATAATATAACCATAAGTAAAACTGCTTAAATATACCGAGAAATATAATCTTTGAAATATCAAAAAAAATTAAATTACACAATATAAAAACTTAATGAATACAAACAGAAATAAGATATAACAAAACAGTCTTAGGAATTCATTATTAAAAAAAATATATAAATGACTTGCCATAATTTCAAAAAATCTGTTCCAAAAATAAATTATTATTAAGAGAGCCAAACTATGTAGACAAGATATCTTAATTATTCAAATTTTACTTTTTCTTCATTTTTATATAAAAGATGACCACCTATAACTTAAGTCAGGCATCAGCAACCTGCAAAGGATTTTTGTCCAGCCCACTAACTTAACACCTGGTAACTAATTATCTCATTCATTTGTATAGCAAGCGTCAGAAAAAAATATCAGTTGGCGTTAATTTACATACAATGCAACACATTTTTTTAAATCAAACTTTCATTCTAAATCAACTGATGGCTTCAACAATATGTTTTGCCAAGCAGAAAATATAAAAGCCTTATGAATAATGTGAAAATGATGATATTATTTGGAAGTACATATGCTTGTAAACAACTTTTTTTCAAAAATGATATATACTAAGTCATTTAAGAACAAGGTTGGGTGATGGCCACCTGGATGATGTTTTGCTCCTGTGATTGACAAATATTTCCCTTGATGTAGAAAAGTTATCGAACAATAAGCAGAGACTAGTGATTCATTAAATAATTCGCCATTTCTACCTGTATTTCGTTTGTAGTAAGGAATTTACATTTTTTGTTATTTGTGTTAGTTATTATCCTGTTATTCCTTCAGTAAAATAAGAAACCTATTTACATAATATAACATTAACATTGTTGTTTCTTCTTTAAATCTTCAGATGAAGGCAGCTTTCTGGATGGAGCAGTCTGAGGTTGAAATAATTTATTATAATACATTTAATATCATGAACCTCCTAAGAGACACTGCATAGCTTTCTGGCCCCCTCTCTCCAAATGGTTGCCAAACCCTGACTTAAGTTTTGATTTTATACCTCCATAATAAAACTGCTATCTTTTAATCATCATAGGGAACAATTTTTGTCTTCCATCAGCATGGCTGATGCTAACCTCGAAGAAAGCAACTCACTGCGCCTTCTTGATCTCACATTTTCCAATGACATGAAGTGGAGTAATTGAATCAATTACTAGGTCTGCTGTTAGAAAGTTGGTTAACTGTGTCATGCCAGACAATTCTTGTACATTTTTAAATTTACTTTTCTTCAATGCATTGAATATTACTGTCATATCTAGTTTGGTGCTCTTGCTATAAATCTTGAGACTATCAACAAAACCCAAAGGAGAATCTGTAATGTTATCAGTCCTGAACTGGCATCTCAAGTTCAGTCACTTTCCTATCACCATGACACAGCTTTCCACTGTCTTTTTTATAAATGTTTTCATAGCAATTGTTCTAATGAGCTCTTTTCCTTGGTACTACAATTGCATAAATTTAAGTGTACTACTAGATTGGCAATTACATTTCATTGTTTTACTCTTGAAATAGCTAAGTTCTATTCTAACAGTTTCATTTCTCACACTTCTTGCCCTGTGGGACTCCTTCAGTTTCTTGCTTCTCTGTCACCAATGATCTTCAAAAATTTAAATGCAACATCAATCACCATTTTCCCTCTTCTTAAATCCTGTTCTTTTATCATCCTTCTTTCTCACTAAAATCTTCTCATTCTCTTTCACATTCAGTAACCCCACCCACCGCAACATTTTAGTGACATTAATGGCCTTGCTTGGTGTGAAATTATTAAAAAAAATAAAAATAATGGGTACATAAAATTAAGTGAACAGAAGCAAATCTACTAAACTATCAATTAAAAGATCAATGAAATAGAAAACAATTTTTGGGATCCAATTTATTTCTGTATTTCTATCACAGAAGATCAAAACCACAAGGCATCATCATCACATTCTTATGGTGATTATCTACATATAACTGGTATTTAATGTATTTTTTTAATAATTCAATACTGACAACGTCTTTAATAGCTGCAGATCTCAAAAATATAATCTATGTATTGAATTATATAATCCTCATTATATTGTAGTTTTACATATATAGCAATAAGTTTTCAAATAACAGTAAAAAAAAAATAATAAATTATGTTAAGGCATTCTTTCCTGATTTTACAATGAAAAGAAGTTTTCAAATTTGCTAACTTAGGGATATATTAAGGTATTTGTAGCACTTCTTAACAGTGTTTCATTTTGTTTTAAACAAATATACTGAAAAAACTTTTCTGAAAAGTCGAGACGTTATTAATAGGCATCAATTTTAAAATTAATATTTTTTTAAAATCTAATGTCTAGACTTTCATAAGTATACCAAAGGACAGTAATAATTTATTAAGAGGAAAAAATAATCAAGCCAATACCACTTCAGTTACAAAAAACTTTTGTTATTATTATTCTTAGAAAAAAAGACCAAAGGAAACTTCATCATCAAGGGGAGCAACTTCTAAAGCAAAAATAAATGATCAAATACAGAATTTTTTAAAAATAAAAAAATAAAATAAAAAACATTACTTTTAATAAAATAAAAAAATCTAAATTGTTTTTTCTTTATTTTTGTTGTTTTTGAAATGCAAATAATCATAACTAAAACACAACACCAAAAAAATAAGACAAAATAAAGATTTGTTTTTATGTTTATTTCAAACGAAAGACATGAATTAACTCCCTTAGAACAAGTTCATTAACTCTATATCATATAAAATAGGTAAAAAACATTTAAGGAAAAGATATATTAATGCAATATAAATATACCAGTATAAATGGTGATTTATATTGCAAAGGTTTTTATTCAATAGTCAAATATAATGCGAAACCTGATGCTAGAAAATTTATTACCAATAAAAACAACTGAATGCTAAGTTAAGAAAGTGATATATGTAAGTCAATAATGTTCAGTATATTTTTTTTGTTTTAAACTGGATTTATTAATCTGAATAGTTGTATTTATCATTATTAAACAAATATTATTTATGGGAAAAAAGGAAGAACAAAGGATGTAAAAGAAAAGAGAAAGAAGAAAGAAAAGAGAAAGAAAAGAGAAAAGAGAAAGAAAAGAGAAAAGAGAAAGAAAAGAGAAAAGAGAAAAGAAAAAGAAAAGAGAAAAAGAAAAGAAAAAGAAAAAAAAAGAGAAAAGAAAAGAAAAGAAGAGAAAAAAAGAGAGAAAAAGAAGAGAGAAAAAGAAGAGAAAAAAAGAAGAGAGAAAAAAGAAGAGAAAAAAGAAAGTGAAAAAAGAAAAGAGAAAAAAGAAAGTGAAAAAGAAAGTGAAAAAAGAAAGAGAAAAAGAAAGTCAAAAAAGAAAGAGAAAAAGAAAGTCAAAAAAGAAAAGAAAAAAGAAAAAAGAAAGTCAAAAAAGAAAAGAAAAAAGAAAAAAGAAAAAAGAAAGTCAAAAAAGAAAAGAAAAAAGAAAAAAGAAAGTCAAAAAAGAAAAGAAAAAAGAAAAAAGAAAGTCAAAAAAGAAAAAAGAAAGTCAAAAAAGAAAAAAGAAAGTCAAAAAAGAAAAAAGGGAGAAAAGAGAAAAAAGGGAGAAAAGAGAAAAAAGGGAGAAAAGAGAAAAAAAAGGAAAATGAAGAAAGAAGAAAAAGGTACAACTATCTTTACCTTTTTATTTTCTTCATGGTTCGGACTTGCTTGTGGAGATGAACTGGAGCTACCAGATGCTGGGAAGGTACTGGGTTTTGGTAAAATAAGCTTTCGAAACTGTAATGGAGCTATTTTGGCAGGGGAACTATTTTCAGAGTTTGAATCTGGAATATTTAATAATGTAATCAATATAGTTATATGCAAAAATAAATTTACAAAATTAGTTTCTACATTTTTACTTCATTGGATTATAATAAAATGTAATTTTTCAAAACATTCTAAATAAAGGATACCTCAATTAGAGAGAAAAAATAATTAACTAGTTGAGCTATTTAAAATCAAAACAGAATAAATTTAAACCATTAACATTTGGAAATTTATTCACTCACCCAAAAATAAATAACAGTAGTATTTTTAGTATGATTATACTAAAGTACTAATTATATTTCAAGAGGAAAGAATCACTACAACCAATTTTTGTTATTCGCTCCAAAGTAAGTTACATAAAATATTTTTTTAAATGAAATTACCAATGAAATTTTTTTTTTATTTATTAACAAACAGCATAGAGCTCAAAACTGATCATTCAATATGCTCAATAAAAAGAATATTAACTAAGTTTGTCAAACTAATTAAAAGTATCATAAAAGTGACTAAATGAGCAACTATAGTCAGAAAATGTAAACCAGATCATTATGCTTTAAATGCTTGGGGGTATCTTTAAATAAATCTTTCAATAGATAATGAAATTAAACTAGAAAAATTAAATGCATTTCTAAAGCTGATAATAAAATATAGAATTGAACTGTTTATGTAACATTGAACAAAATCGTTTTGCATTCACCAAGTTTGTTTTTTTTTTTTATTATTGTTATTTGAAGGAAATAAGAAAATTTTCTAAGTTAAATTACTTCAATCAGAACCATCACAAATTCAATTTTTCTATACATAAATAGATAAAGGAATAGGTTTTAACATTCATATAAAATGAGCAATATAAAGTTGCTTTTCTTGGATTTCCATGTAATCCTTATTTTAAAAGCTAAAGAGGTTTAATCCACTGTATCCAAGAAGTGCTTTAAGACAGACTAAATGAATTTAGCAACTCATTTTCTTTCCTTTTCCAGTAACCCTGTAATTCTTTGAATACTTTAACAAAATAACAATTGTAATAAAAAGCAATAAACATACCAGAATAAATAGAGAGATCCGATTTCTCTAGACCAGCACGAGCTTCTGCAATGAGTTGTTGTGCTCTTTTACGTAAACGTATTTGTTTCTCAGTATCCTGCTAAAAAAAAAAAAAAAAATGAAACCTATAGAAATGTTTATTATATACAAATATGCAAAGATTTCATAGTGTCACATTTGTTTTGACATCTACACACACACACAACATAAAAATTTAAACTTTAAAATTGTAAGAAAAAAATCTGATATAAAAACTGATTAATCAATTTCAGGTTCTATATTTGATTAATCAATTACTTTCAGGTTTACATATATAATTTACTTGATTGAATTCTTTTGTCAAACATTTTTAATGAGTTTTTTGAGAAATAATTATTTTTTGTTTTTACCTTAATGCATTAAATTATCAAGTTCGACTCTTCCAAGCCTTTCAAATAGATTTCAGTAATTTTTTTCATTGTTTATATTTCATTATCTTATTTTTAATATTTTGATTGATGCAGTAATCATAAAAGCAAGTAAATAAAACAATTAGTATGACTAAGCAAATTTTAGCCTAAATTTTTAAAGAAAAACAAAAACTCAATTTAATCTGAAAAATTAAGAAATAAAAAAGAGTTCAAACTTTGAAAAAATTTACACAAAAGTTAATCTCAGGTAATCAGGTAAAACTGTATATATCTACTTAAATTATAAATAAATATTATTATAAATAAACAAACCCATTTTTCATGTAAATAAGAGCTTTTAGTTTTTACAAAAAGTTTATTGAATTCTAAACTTTACCTATACATGCAAGCAATGAACATGATAAACTATTATGATGACAATTATTTATACCGGATGGAAATTATATATTTTTTGCTTTAGAAATATTCATAAATTTTACAATTACAATTATAAACATTATGCAGTATTTTTTATTATGAATTTTCATTAAATAAATTCCCTAGATCTTATAATCAATCTTGTATTGAGGAACGTTAATCTTATGAAAGAAAACAGATAATACAAGATGCATTGCGAGTGTGCTGATATACTCCATCACTGTTTGGTATGCCAGCTGCTCAGCAGAAGACAAAAGAACCATCCAAAAGGTTATAAATGTTGCCCCAAAAAGTAATCAGCTGTTTGCTGCCATCCTTAGAAGATATTTTTAATTCTTGTTATCACAACAGAGCAGAAAACATAATGAAACACAGCCTGCGTCCCAAGTACCAATTGTTTGAACTGTTACCTTATGGGTGATGTTTTAGCTTGAGGGACAACTTTTATCCTTGGGCTCTGTGTAAAATGAACACTGCCACACACTGACAATTTTCAAACTATTTTAAATGTTATTATGTGCTTGTGTGTGTGTGTGTGTGTGTGCGTGTGTGTACACCTGGGGACTGCTGTCCAATTTCAATGTGTATTGCACAGTGACAATAAGAATAAAGGAATAGATAGGTTTGCCTATCACCCAGTTCACACTCCTTCCCAGTCTTTTGAACAGGATTAGAGGGTTATCCCTTGTTTCCTATGTAGGATTGGTTTTCTGGTTCTTCTAATGTCTCCACCTAAACTCTGACATTTTATTTAATTTTTTTTTTCTCAATAGGAAGAGATAGGTTTGCCTATCATCTGGTTCAGCCAGTTTATCCCTTGTTTCTGGTTCCTTTGAAAATCTTCATTTTCTTTCACTCTCAGTAGCCTCTTGCATCTTAATAGCATTATTGCTTTGCTTAGGGTGAATTGATAAAAATAAATACATAATGCAGGTACCCTAATACCTTGAAAATAATGGGAATGGTTGAATAAAATATTTTATTTAACTGAAATATAAACGTGTAGAAAAAAGACTTTATATTAGTATGTTTGTAATATATTATGCATATATTATTATAATTTAATATTATAATTTAATGAAATGTCACTTTGTTGTGTGTCCTATGTATTACCTATGATAAATCTAATTTAATATACTACAGTACAATGAAAAGTTTAGCCCGAAGTTCATATTAATTGGCTGTGTACAACAGTTTACAAGGGAATTGTAACACATGATATAAATATTTTGATTAAAAATAACAAAAACAAGACTACTTTAGCCCTACACAATGTTATATTAATAAGAGACAGTAAACAGATAAATTAGCTAATAGAGTTTTCTTAACGAAAATTCATTCTCTCACATTTTTGTTCCTTGTTTTATATACCAGGGTTTTTCAAACTTTTTTTTTTTTTTTACTGCAACCCACAGCAAGAACCACATTTTGCATTGTGACCCATTATACCTACGTGTAATAAATCAAAGACAAACTATTCACTAGGTTCATTTATTTAGCATCGACAATTTATATGTATATTTCTTATGATCCACACATACTAGAATTGTATGTATCTATTTGTATAATTGCATGAATCATTCATACAAAAAACAAATATAGAGGTTAATGATTTAAATGGCGAAAATACATCTTCGCAAACAATTTCAATAAAGTACACTAACCCCAAACCTGTATATGAATGATATGATCCCTGTTTATAAATTCCAGTTGCATAAGGTCTTTTTTAGTTTTTACAAGCTTTCGTCTGTTCCTACAGACATCCTCAGGTATGGAAATAGATTTGTTCTTGTTTTTTACTTCTCGGTAATAAGAGGACAACGAAAATATAGATGTAATCCAAAAAAATGCTATGAGAAATGTGTTATTGTTTTGGAACGTGCGGTCGCAACGCTGAGTTTGAATTTTAAATTTTAAGGTTGTGTGTTTTTGTACAAATAAAGTAATAGGAGAATTCTTTTGTACTGGTAGGTTTTCCGTCAATGTGGCATGAACTATATTGTTCAATAATTACAGGAATGTCACACTTATTATGCGAAAGTTGCACGTTGGATCAGTTATTTTAATTTCGATTATAGGTGCAGTTCAATTTATAATTACATGAATCATTCATACAAAAAACAAATATAAAATGAATATAAAATTTTTACTTTTAAAAAATATAGCCCATCCTTAAATTTCACCGCAACCACAGCCAATTCACCAAAAGTTCCAAGACTTCAATTGAATACAACAAATCATATTACTACCGCAGGAAGAATGTATTGGTACTAGATTTTGATATTAGCCCTGATTTCAGATGTAACTGAATCATTCAACAATCTTAATGACTTTCACCAGCCACAAAGACAAATGCACTGCACAACTTTGTAGCTAAGTTTTGGTGCAAGGTCTCTTTGTGAGAGAGAACTGACATCACTCAGTGCACAATGAGTTTGACGGACAAGATACATAAGCTCAATGAGAACAGACTAGATATAATTAAATTTAAAGAAGAAAATATAATACAAGCTTACCTCAGTGAAAAACTAGTGATGATTTATGATTTCCGTGCAACATTTAGAGCTGTTTATATTCTGCATTTGGCTCCCACTTATGTATTTTATTTGGTTTTCTTTTTTGCTTTGACTCATTTTATTTATCTTGTGACCCATTGAAGGTTTAGGACCCACAGTTTGAAAAACCTTGCTATATACTATTACAAAGATTTACAACTCATAAATATAACAGTGATATTCTGGACCATATTCAAACACATACCAAAATAATGGTAATATAATTGTTTTAAAAATGTTCAATACAAATATTCTAATAAGGACGTATTTATATAAAATACAAAATACGTTTTACATATTAAATTTATCTTGAAGCAAAGCACGCAAAGCTTTTGCTAACACTGAAGAAAATCTTAGTCAAACTTAATATAATAAAAAAGATCAAATCAAGCAAAGCAAACAAAAATACAAATGCTTTCAATTATCTATCCATCATCCTTCATACTTTAACAAAATTTCCTGCAAAAATGGTTTTTATATAATCAACTCAGAAATTTATATGTATTATATCTCTTCAGGAAATGGCTAATCATGGCTCGCCACAACCTCCTATCCTATATACCTCTAAGCAATGTTTGTACCCTTCCTATCCAGCCATCCATTTACACAATCTCATTAAGTAGGTTACTCACTGTTTCCCACTCTCTCTATTGCCTTCAATGTGTCCTGCGAGTGCCAAATTCTCCAAGCCATCTTCCCCCATTATGTGTCCCCCAAAATTTCAACCATCTCTTTCTGATTCTAATTATAAGCTCCCTTTTTGTTTCCATTTCAATCATGGCAATTCAAAAATTACAATGGTAAAAAAAATAATTATTTAACATAAAATCCATAATTAACTAATTTAGTAAGTCATCATTTTTATTCCTTCTGAGCTATGTAAACTAAATTTCTGTAAAACATTTATAGAATAGTAAAATTTTTGTCTTTTGACGTTAAATTGTTTTCAATGATTTACTAACATAGTTGTACCTTTACTATTAAAGATATAACAACACAATAGACAAACAATATATACATTTATGTGTAAACTAAAAATATATCTGTAAAAAGACAATATGCAAAAAGACAAAACATATGTGTGTTAATAAGATGTAGAATAATTATATCCAAACAAATGTGGAGAAATTAAACAAAGTGAGAAAGCTTTTATAATGACAATGTATTTTCCTGTACTAGATTAGCGTCTTCAGGACAGAATGAAAGACAAAAGTGTATCTAATTGTTAATGACTGTTTGCTTGGTTGACATCTACTGGTCAGAATGAAAGAACAAAACTAGGTTTCTTTTTTTCTATTAAAGCTGTTAATGTCTACTGAACTTGAAATTAGTCCACTCCAAGTAGATTTCTATTATTCTCTCTATTAGTGTGTAAACCGGACATCATAAAATCAATAGCAGTACAATGCAGTGTACAAGCTTGGTAGTCAGATGTTCCCAAAACCACTCCATTACCACTGGTACAGTGTTGCAGAACATATTGCCCTGCTGAAAAATATCACAACCCTAAGACTTTTACCATGAAGAGGTGCATTAGATGGTACATGATTAAGTACCTTCCAAATGAAAGATAAGACCAGTGTTTTTCAGTAGAACATTATACTGCTTCCACCAGCTTCTTTTCCCAAAAGTGCATCCCAATGCCATCACTGCAGGATAATAATGTAAGCATATCAAACCAGCCACTTTAATTAGAGTAAGATGAGATTTATGTGACT